TATTTGCTCTTAAACACTGAGCCATCTTTCAGCTCAAATTTGGTTTTTAAACTTCCAACACATCAGACAGGTGTTCTCAAGGCTCTGACAAAGGGACATCCTCCACTTGCCAGAAATGAGCAGTTGTGCAGGGTCACAATGACCGAGTCTTCTCACAGGAACATTTTGGAAATGCACTGGTCCTTGTTGACCGAATTGGACCACTTGTCCTGATTTTCCTTTATTCGTCTGGCTAATTCTTCCTCATCCTTGAACTTTTTCAGCAATTGCAATTAGACAACACCATCTATCAATCCCAGCTGTGTCCATCTGGTTCATATACTACATTCTGTACACCATGTTCCAGGAGCAGAAGCACTCCAGATGTGTGGAGGAACCAAGCAGAACTTGGTTTTATCAGCCTTCAGGAAAAGGGTGTTCCATGCTGAATTTGTTACCTCTGCAATTGCAAAGGCAGAAAATGTTCTGTGCAAGGCAGGGGTCCTTAGGCTCTTTTGCCTCCAGGCTTTCAGAATGACCCATGGCAGGGCCTGCCAGTTCTCTGGGGGAGGAAAACAAACTATGTGAACTCACAGGATCCCTGCCAACCCAAGACAAGATAATAACAGCAGGAGCAGGCTTGAAGCAAACAAGAAAAGGGTAGTTCAGCTAGATGCATTTTCTCTGCCTTTTCCCCTGGGGACCTCACACGTCCCTGTAGATACTGATCTATGGCTGGAGACTGTCCATCCACAAATGATGTAATAGCGCTCCCAGAAGTCCAAAAGTCCAAGCATAGTTCAGGCTTTCCCAGAAGGAGGGAACATTTTATCAAAGATCAGGCATAGTATTTTGCACTGGACTCTCCATTCTGGTCTGCTGCCAAATGTTATTAAGGTTATTTGAATTGATTTAAGTTTGTTCCTTTCCACCCTACACCATTAATCCACCCCTAAGTACTTTCCAAGCAATGTAACATATAGCAAAGTAACACAAATGCAGATTTAAAAGTTAGGAAACATTGAGCTAAACACATGGAACTGACAAGCTACACACACACACACACACACACGGTGGGTGTATATGTTAGAAATTGAGGTAGGAGAATAAGATCTACTTAAAAGCACAGCTCTTGAGATGAGCCAGTGGGTAAAGGCATTTGCTGCACGCCTGATGACCTGAGTTGAATCATGTCCCTCTCCGCACCCACTTGACAGAAAGAGACAACTGACTCCTACAATTTGTCCCCTGACTTCCACATGTGTGCTATGGTATGCATGCATCACACACACACACACACACACACACACACACACAAATAAATGTATGTTTTTGAGTTAAAGCCTTAGAATACAAATTTGGAAGATCATATAAAGATGAATGTATAAAAACAATCCTCATTGATGAAATGTCCTGGTCTGAAAATGGTATGACCAGGATGCTGTTCACACCATTCTGTTGTAAGCCAAATGCCATTTGCTCAGCTGCACTTGTAGACAGAGCAGCAGTTTCCAAAGTATTGTTCCTGGACCTACAGGGCCTGTACCACCTGACACTTGCAAATACAGATTCTTGGGCTCTGCCTCAGACTTACTGGCTCGGTAGCTCTGGGTTGGAGCCAGTTAGTTTTTAACAAGCTCTTCAGATCAGTCTAATCCACACAACTGCTAAACATCACTGGAAAAGAGGGCCTGGGGTGACAAGAGGCACAAAACAGCAAAGCAACAATTCCACGTGGCAATGGTGATCATGCCCCAGGAAAGAAAGCTACAGCTGAAAAATGTCAAATACAGAACCAGTGGAATTTACAGCACTGGATCATGGTCATGGAAGAAGGAACACTAAAAGGTGTGAATAGGTGGTTAATAAGAAAGGGGTGTGGCAAGTCAGCACTAGGAAAACCACAACCAGGGGAAATAACTGGAGGAAAATGTCCTCACCAACTGATAATCCTGGCCTGAACTGTCATTGGCTCTCAGAGTTTCCCTCAAGAAGAACCTGGTAGAGCACTTGCCTAGCAAGTGCAAGCCCCTGAGTTTGATCCATAGAACCAAAGAAGAGGAAGAAGAGTAAGAAGGGGAGCAATCCTCAGAGGACCTAATCACGGTTTCTGTTGCTATAATAGAATACCTGAGACTCACTGTTTTATAGAGTCAAAATTTATCTAGCTTGTGATTCTATAGTCTTGGAAATCCTGGCAAGGGATATCACCACCTATTCTAACCTACATAATGCATTTGCAGTTGTAGGAATAGTTATATAATGTTAAGTAGAAGTATGCTCTGGTTATTATTTTCATTTGGAAATTAAGCATCACATAAGGAGATGTGACTAAGCACCAAACTGACATGTGGGCTTATGGTGGATAATCTTGGCTATCAACCTGATTATACCTGTAATCAACTAATATCCAAGCAGCTAAGCACACCGGGGAGGGGTCTTCTTGGTTGGATCACCTGAACCACACCTTCTGGTGATGGACCACACAAAAGGACATGGAGGAAGAAAGCTTTTGCTTGTCTGTCTGCTTGGCCTCACTCTGACTGGCTAGTTTGCCACTTCTGCTCCTCAGGCCATCCTTTGCTGATATTAGAACCTAGTTCTTCAGGATCCCAATGTAGACTTAGACCCCAGCACCAGAATGGGATGCCAAGACATCTAGTCTTCATGGACTCAACAACTACCGTTCTGTCAGGAGACAGTCATTGATGACTACATTATAATTATTGCTAACATATTCTCCATTTTTAAAGCCTCTCTCTTAAAGTGTTAAGTCCTAAATGTTCCATTTCTACATGTGCAATGAATGAGAAGAGTTGAAAGAATCCCAGAGAATACTTCAAGACTTAGAAGATGTGAAACGGCTTGTTGATAACAATCCCCCAGTCTGAAAACAAAAAAATAAGTGGCCCTAAAAAAATAAGCAGATTCAGTCAAGCCATTTCAAATTAAAATCAATTGAATGCAAGTAAAAGTGTTATGAAAGGAAGTTGGGCAAGCACTGTGCAACCAGAGACCAGGGGAGACAGAGAGGAAAGGAAGTACAAGATGGGACAGCAGCGCTTGTTGCTCTTGGGGAGGATGCTGATTGAATTCCCAGCATCCATGTAGTGGCTCACAACCATCTCTAACTCAAGATCCCAAGTATCAAGGGATCTAACACCCTCTTCTGACCTTCTTGGGACCAATGCACACATGTAGTACACATACAAATATTCAGGTAAAACACTTAAACATAGAAAAAGCAATGAATAAATCTAAAAAGAAAAATCAGTACAAGAAATCAAACATATGGGGATAGGTAATGGCTCAGTGGTTAAGAACACTGGCTGCTTGACCACAGGACCTAGGGTTGATTCCCAGAACCTGTAACTCCAGTTCTAGGGGATCTGACATCCTCTCTGGACTCCCTGCACATCAAGGATGCATATGGTTCACATGTATTCAGGCAAACACCTATATTCATAAAATAATTTCTTTGGAGACAGGGTCTCTCTATATAGTCCTGGCTGTCTTGGAGCTTTGCTGTGTAGACCAGGCTGGTCTCGAACTCAGAGCTCCTCCTTATGTTGCCTCCCAAGTGCTAGGATAAAAAGAACTCAAATACAAGTATGAAATCCTCAACTAGAAATAGCCAACTTTTTGGACCCTCCATTTGTTTCTAGGACCTCAGATACTTCCTTCTAAAACACCCCATCCCTACAATACAGAGCCCTCCCACCACAGCCAGTTTTAGCAGGAGCTTTGCAGTGTGGGCCCAATTCCAGCTATCATGAGAGTAGATCCATCTGAAGCAGACTGTTTCATCCTGTTTCTAGTCTCTTCTGAAAATGTGATGATAATCAGAGTAGCAGACTATAGAGAGAGAAACAAAATGAACTGAACTAAATTATACCAGGAGGTCTGACTTCAGCTTGTTATTAAAGAAAAGTGTTTATCCATCATTCTTACATTTGTTCATTTTAGACAAGGTTTCAGTATGTAGCCCTAGCTGGCCTTGAACTCATTATGTGGACTAGATTGGCCTCAAATTCACAGAGCTCTGGCTGCCTTTGCCTCTGGGGTGCTGGAATTAAAGGTACAAGCCTCCATATAAAATCTACCCATTATTCTTTTAACATGTATCTGAGCATCAAGTGTTCCCAGGTACTGTACTAGGATCAGGAATACAACGTTGAACAAAGTAGACATGGCTTCTACCCTCACATAGCTCAGACTAAAGATGGTAAGATATACACTAATTACATAATACCAACATCCTAAATACAAACTGTCAAGGAGGGGAAGATCACAGAACCTTAGGACTCAGGTTACCAGCTAAGCAAACAAAGACTATTCCTGCAGGTAACATGGCAGTCAGCAAGGAAAGGTGGTAGGGGGTAAGTCGCTGAGAGTGTGGTGGTGCATTGGGAAGCAGGAGGGACCACAGTGACAGTGGGGAATCATCAAAGGGGAAGACATCTATCTGGAAAGGCAGATAGGGCAGATTCTGACAAAACCTTATAAGCTTCTTAGAGATTTTGGATTTTACTGTGAGAGTAGCAGGCTGCCAAGGATGCATGACTAACAATCATGCTGGTAAAGTTGTTAAGGATGCGTGGCTAACAATTATGATGGCAAAGTTAAGGGTGTATGGCTAACTATCATGCTGGTTGTTGGCAGTGGGACACAGGGACACCAATCTGGAGACTCATGCTATTGATCAAAAACAGCAGTGTGACATCCCTCAAATAATCTTGACCCAGAATGGAGAAAGATGAATAGCTTTGAGAGATACAATGAGCTTAGAGATAGATGGGTGATGGTGGGTAAAGGAGAGGGTTTGTTGAAGACTTTTGGGTATCTAGTCACACTAAATGGCTGGCATTTAAAGGAAACTCCTGGAAGATTCTAGATGAATCACATCCATGTGCTTAGGCCTGGAATCTCTCCTATGGGCCCCAGGAGAAGCTCAACCCTAGCTGCAAAGCTATTCCTTGTGCTTCCATGAAGACACCCATGAATAAACCACAGCCTTCTCATCTCTCTCCCCTCTCATGCACTTTCTAGGTACCACATGCCCAACCCCCATATCTGTTGAACATGCAGACATACGGGTCAAGAATTACAGTGTGAACTCCAGGGAGAGGTATGTCTGTAATTCTGGTTTCAAACGGAAAGCTGGCACGTCCACACTGACCGAGTGTGTGATTAACAAGAACACAAATATTGCCCATTGGACAACTCCTAACCTCAAGTGCATCAGTAAGTACCAGTCCCCACACTGTCCCCCTGCCTCCTTTCAAGGCTGAATAGAGAGGAGAGCTGAAGAGTGGGAGCTGTGGGAGCCAAAGAAACCTGTGCTGAGATCTGGGGCTAACTAAACCAGTGGGGCACTGGTGTAAGAATACATGGGCAGTGGGTTCTGTCACCCATTCTTGGCTCATATCCTAGCTCTGCCACTTACCTATTTTGTGTCCCTGGGAAAATCCTTTAGCTTCTTGGAACTCTGCTTGGTGATCCAAAAAAAGTGAACCTGATGTCAACAATGGTTCGTAGAGTTAAGTGGAACCTGATAAAGGTTAATTATTATGACCGTCAGTATTTGTTTTGGCATGATAGAAGCCAGAGGATTGGCAATGGTCTAGGTGTGTGCTCAAGCTGCCCAGAGAGCTTTTTGGATTTCTCACAAGGCAGAGGGCTTCAGGAAAACATACATTCTTCTTGTTTGCCAGAACCTGGAAGGTTGGCTAAACCTAACAAACAGAATATCTCTGGCTTACTCAGCAGTGCAGTGTCCAGCTATGATCAAGAGCAAGGACAAAGATTGGGAGAATCAACTTTTTAAGAAACTCACCCACAGTTGGATGAAGGCCAACATTCCATAGGTAGAACCACTTGGTGGTGCTTCCAGGAATACTAATCCCCATTCTGCTCCCTAGAAAAGTAAAGTGGCCCGTAATCTTCAGGAGAGCACGGCTTCTACAGGAACCCACTGCATATCCAGTACATGGCTAGCAGCAGCGAGTGCAGGTTCATTGAGGACTTAGGTGGAAATGCCCTGCTCCTTCTTGGAATTCCTGGAAGAGCCAGGCTTTCTCTCAGGCTGTCAGATTGTCTTCATCCTCCCCATTGCCCTCCCCCCCACCACCACATATACACACACAGCTTCAGGCTGAGAGTTTAGCAGAGATAAGGGAAGGAAGGAGTCCTGATACCTGCTTGTTTGCATAGCCTTACAAGGAACTTTAAGCTGGGGGAACCTAGCCTTCAAAACATGATCTTGGAGGTCACATTCCAGATCCAAACCATAACACTCAGGTTTCCTCAAAACCCCACATCTTTTGGTGAAGGAATCCAGGATGGACAGCCACTCTGAATAGGGGCAAGAAGATAAGAAGGAAATAAAGAAGCTGCAATGAGGATACTTTAAAATTAAATTTATTTATGTATTTATTTATTTGGGGAGAGAGAGAGCATCCGTATGTGGAGGTCAAATCTGCAGCAATTGTTTCTCTCCTTCTGCCACATTGAGTCCAGGGATTTGAACTCACATCTTCAGGCTTGATGGCAAGTATGTTCACCCACCAAGTGCTCAATTATTTTTTCTTTTTTGAGATATGTGTGTGCACTTATGTTTATGTGCATGTCTTGTATTTGTGTACACATACATGTGGGTGCACAGTGTGCATTCACATAAGTGCCCATGCATGTGACGGCTGGCAGTCTTAGAATGTCTACATCTGTTATTCTCTACCTTATGTTTTGAGATGGTGTCTCTCACTGAACCCAACACTCACTGATTGCTACCTATGTACTGGATATACAGAGGGTGCCTGTTGAAGCCACTAGAGTCCCAGATCTATGCCATAATGGGGATCAGGACTCAGATCCTTGTTTTTATGTGACAGTCACTTTATTGACAGCCATCTCTTTGGCCCTGTAATCAGAATTTCAGAGTCCAAAAGCGGGAGGAATCTTTAAGTCTCATCTGGTGCAAAGGTTTTGCTCTTTGGCCATTTTACCACCAGCAATCCCCTTCGTTGTTTTCCCAACTCCTGTGCACTGAGTGATAGTCTCCTATATAAATGGAGTCTGTTGAGTGGTATTTTGTTTTTCCCATGAAAACCTAGTATGATAAAATTGAGTTGATTTTACATATATCATTCCACACAAAAATTATTTGATGACTGACCTGTGGGAAATCCTAAAAAGGCAACTTTCAGTCTGTGCATTTGAGTTGGGAAACTGACTCATTTCCTTTGCTACTAGCCTTGTCCCAGGAAGGCAGAGAAGTAGAGGTGCACCGATGGCATTGATTATTTTTCTTCGTAGCTAGTTCTGAAACCGCCTCAGATTCTGCCCTCAAAATCATAAATGCCATGTGAATGTCCTCTCTCTAGGAGACCCCTCCCTGGCTCACCAGAGTCCAGTGCTGCCTTCCACAGCAGTGACGCCAAAGGTGACCCCACAGCCAGAGAGCTCCTCCCCTCCTGAAAAAGGTAGGAAAACTGGGAAAATGTGAAGAAGATGGATCCATTCCCCTATCATAAATACCATGGCCCACTGCTGAGGATCCCTGCCCACCCAGGCAGCAGAACTTTATGTTGACGGCAAGATTCAGAACTTGTAGAGGCTTAGCTTTCTCAAGGTTATTTGATATCCAGAATTCACATTTGCATAATTCTTAGTGGCTTAGAATCTACCATTAACGTATTAGACCCAGTAAGCTGTAAACACTCACCCTTATCAAGCTTATCAAGAACCTTATCAAGCACCTGAGATTTGATCCCACTTGTTTTTGCTTATTTATTTGTTGTTTTTCTTTCTTTCTTTCTTTCTTTTTTTTTTTTTTTTTTTTTTTTTTTTTTTTTGAGACAGGGTTTCTCTGTGTAGTCTTGGCTGTTCTAGAACTTACTCTATAGGCCTCATTGTCCTGGATCTCAGAGCTCTGCCAGCCTCTGTCTCCCGAGTACTGGGATTGAAGTCATGCTCTGCCAACACCTGGCTATCACTTCTTTCTTAACTTGCATCAGCATTATTAAAGGGCTTTCCACGTGGCACAGGGAAGCAGGCACATAATCATCTCTCAGGCCTGCAAGGGCAGCAAGATAAGCAAGAATACATCCCAGTATTCTGCAGGTTGCACTGGGCCAGAGAAGCCTGAGGGCACAGAAGCTGAATGTCTTATAATTGGCAACAAAAAAGCCTGATCTTTCCTCCAGAGGTAGATACCATCTCTATCTTCCAAAGTACTTGCTACTCACTATCCATGTCCTTGGCAAGACAGTCCAAAGAAAGGGCAGGGACAGGACTCTTTGGCAAAATGTGAAACAGTGTGAGGGATTCATTGTAGACTGACTTTATTTATTTATTTGCTGCAGGGGAGTGGGTGGGTAGAGGCAGGTCTCACTATGGAGTTCTCACTGTCCTGGAATTCACTATATAGACCAGGGTGGCTTCAAAAATCACAGGGCTATGCCTACCTCTACCTCTTGAGTGCAGTAGCAGTACCACTCTCGAGTAGTAGTGTGTCCCTACTATCCAGCTTCCCAGTCTTCACCATTAGCAATTTAATTTGGAAGCTTGTTCTAGTTTCTTTTCTGTTGCTGGGTTAAAATATCTCAACAAAAAGCAACTTAAGGGAGTAAGTAAGAGTTTGTTTTGCCTTACATTTTCATGTTATAACCATCACAGTGGCAGGAGCTTGAAGTAGCCAGTCACGTCACATCCACAATCAAGAGCAGAGAGACAGGCATGCATGCGTGTTCACTTGCATGTGCTCAGCTCAACTTCTCCACTCTTGAGACAGTACAGGAGCCCCTGCCTACGGAATGGCACCACCCACAGTGGGATGAGTCTTCCTACATCAATTAATCAAGATAATCCCTCACAGACATGCTCACAGGCCAAACCAGTGTAGGCAATTCCTCATTGAGATTACCTTTCCTCATGTCAAGTTAGAGCTAACCGTCATAACACAATAATACAGAAATATTGCAGGAGCGTCACCCCACTCTCCATCCCTGCCTTCCTTCTTTTCTTCCCTCCTTTCTCACAGGGTCTCTCTATGTGTCCTGGCCTCAAATGCACAGGCATCCTACCTCAGCCTCCAGAGTCCTCGGATTATAGGCACGAGCCACTGAACCCTGCTCAATGCTTTGCACTTCATTTTACATAATCTAGTTCAGTGCCCTCAGCATTTGTCTCATTGTTAAGAACATTTGAAACCTGTGCTCTCCACCCTACAATGCTCTCGTTTTCTATTAAGTTTTATTGTCACATCATCCAGTTTGTGGTTTTCCCTTGTTTCCTCCTTCCACTCCCAATTATGGGAACCTCTGTTTGCAATCATTCTCAATTGCTCACAACTTCCAGTGTGCTGGGTCTCTGCGATTGATACACAGGGACCTTGCTGAAGAATTCCAGTTGGTCTGGAGACAGCTCTGAGAATCAGCAGCTTAGAAGGCTCCAGCTTACGAAAAATTAATAACAAAATAGAGCTGGGGCTGTAGTTCATTGGTAGAATGCTTGCCTAGCATATAAAAGGCTCTAGGTTCAACCTCCAGTACTATTAGGAAAACATAATAAAACAAAAAGGAGTGTCTGTTCTGGTAAGTAGGCTGCATGAAAACAGAAGAAAGTGGTGGGTACATGACCCTTTTAAAACAGAAGTGATTCCCAAGCTCCTTGGGTATGAGACATCATACACAGTGTTTATACTCAAGAGATAAGAATGATCAACCTCTCTCAGCCTTGCCTCTGTGTCCCAAATGCTTGGTCAGATGTTCCTCATTTAGACAAAAATGTGCAGACACAGCCTTGGACACTAATTGGTATGATCATGAGTTCTTGGATGTGAGTTTTCTGCAGGGATGGTGGTTTGTGGAGGAGGGATACATCTGAGTAGGACTTAAGGATATGTGTACATCTTACATGGTGCGGGACACCACATCATGCCTCTGCAGTACCAATATGCCCGGCCTCCCAGCATGCTTTCCTCACACTGCATTTCCCAGGCTTGTTATTTGTCACAGTGAAAGACACATTTTCATTTGGAAGAGAATAGAGAGTAGGGAATGGGTAGGCCATTTTAGAGGTTAGGGGTATCCATCTACCAGTGATGAATAAGGAAGACAGGAGCCAAAACCCAGATGTCTTCCATGCCAGTGGGAACTAAATCGGAATCCTCTCCTTGGATTCTGTCTAAGGAATGCAGGGAGCTGGATGTAAGCTTCCTCTTATTTCAAAATGTCATTCCAACATGTGAAACAGTCAAGTGTGGTGGTGCATGCCTTTAATCCCAGCACTCAGGAGGCAGAGGCAGGGAGCTCTGTATGAGTTTGAGGCCAGCCTGGTTTATACAACAAGTTCCAGGCCAGCCAGCGACACATAATAGATCCTGTCTTAAGAAACAGCAAAGCTGAGCTGAGCGGTGGCAGCACATGCCTTTAATCCCAGCACTCAGGAGGTAGAGGTAGGCAGACCTCTCTGAATTGAGTCCAGCCTGGTCTCCAGAGCTAGTTCCAGGACAGCCAGGGCTGGTATACAGACAAACTCTGTCTAGAAAAACAAATAAACAAACAAAGAACCAATGAAACTGAAAGGGAAAACTAGCACTCCAGCGCAATTTCACAATGCAGTTCCACTTGTGTCTTGGCATCAAGTCTTTGAGACTATAACTGTTGTTCTTTTGCTGCAGCTATTGCCTAAGAAACACAAACATGAGACTCAGTGCCCACATGGAGTTTATTGAGGGAAGGGAGAGAAAGGGGGTAGCTGGTGGCCAACCAAAAGCAGGGGAGAGAGAGAGAAGAAAGAGAAAGACAGAAAGAGCGAGGAGAGAGAAAAAACAAGAGAGAGGGGGCAAGAGGGGGGGCGCGCTTGGCACGCTTGCTTTAAAAGGGGGGCTTGCACATGAGCAACTGAGTCCTCTGGCAGCCAGGTAAAGCTTGAGCAGCCAGGTAAAGCCTGATGTAGTGATGACGTAGCCATGAGAGTCCCGCCCATCGTCGGGGGCGGGATCAGCAGGCTGCTGGTTCCCAACATTCCCATCTCTTACAGTTATTAAAAAGGTGGGGGTTGGGTGTGGCAGGTTAGGGAAAAAGGACTTTGAGTTCTCAAGACTGCTTCCTGCTGACTTGGGGGCGTTGATCCAGGGATCTGAGAAAGCTGGGGTGCTGCCATGTCCTAGTAGCTGGTTGTTTCATAGTATGGAGCTCTGGCATCTCTTTGAGACCTGGCAAGATGTTAGCAGAACAGAGGACAAGGTTAAGGTTTTTTTCCCTTAGGTCCAAGTACTTAATGGGAGAAGTGTAAGGTGGGGGAGGGGCTCCCAAGGAGGTCCCAGGACAAGGTTAGGAAGTCCCAAGGCCAGGAAAAAGTTGAGTAATATTTATTTGGAGTGAATCTGACCTGTAAATGGATCCAATTCTGCTCCCTGGAACCTAAAGAATCCTTTGGGTTTGTGAAACATAAATATTAGACACTTTATCAGCATACTCATGTTAGAAATGATTTGGCTGAAAGAACTAATACATACAACTGGCAGATTTTTAGCACAATGAAAAGCACCTTAATTGTGAGCTTGTAGTTAGAGTTATGATCATATAGTGACATAGTATGGTGTTTAATACTGTCAGAATTGGATTAGTAGCTTATTAAAACTTTATTGATTAATGTTAAGACTATAAGCAGTAGCAACCTTAAAATACCCAGTTTTGAAATCTGTTTTGTAACAATTGGAGCCTTGGCTGCTGCCTTAAGCTGACAAAGCTACCAGTCGTCAAATGCATCAGAGTTCTTGAGAAGGATAAAATTTTACCTGAATGATTAGAGAGTAACAGGGACTTACTAACTGGAAGCATGGACAGCCACCCCCAGGTCCTCCACAGTTGTTGAAGTCAGAGGCTTTAAGGACATCTGTCTTCTGCTGATGGCACGAGACCTGTGGATTAGGAGCTTTTGGAAGACTTACCTGCCGTTGGCCCAAGCAACGTGGAGAAAGTCGATTCCACTGCCCTCTTGTCCATGGTCCTTAGAGCCTTTTGCAGCAGTTGAGATGAAAGGCAGTATTGCTCAGTGGCTAGCATTGCCACTTTTGTGGGTGGAGTTTCTTCAGTGTCCATCAGTCTTCTTGGAGGAAATGGGTGGTGCCAGCAGCTGGCCTGTCTCTCTGTTATAAAAAGCTTTTTAATGAAACATTTTAAATGCCATATTCTCTAGATCTCTGAGCATTTGAGGGCTGTCTGGCTGTTTAGCATATCTTAATATACAAAACTTGTCTTTAGTTACTTGCCTTAAACACATAGGTAGCTAGGTAAGGCTTTATCCCTGTAATTAATTAATCTGTTTGGAAAACTGGATCCAAGCTGAGAGGCTGTGGAGGGATGTTATACTCAGAGCCCTCCAGCCTGACTGTAACTGTTTTAACTTAGAAGGCTAGACTTACACCTGTAAGGGACAAAGAGGTAGAGAAAAATTTCCTTTGATAATAGAAGCTTAACCTTTATAAACAGCTTACAGGAAAGACGGGGTTGCATAAATATTTTGTTAGTTTGAAATAGACCTTTATAACCTTAAATATTTACCACCATTTAAAGGCACATAACAAATTTAGAAATATTTGAGACTTACTACAGTTGAATTTAAGTTATAGTGTTAGTTTACATTTACATATAAAGTTAAATTTAAATCACATGTACAGACATATTAAACAGGTCTGGGTAAAAATGAAGACTAGAGTGTGAAGCTATGTGTAACATAGTGAAAAAAGAAATTAGATACAAAGAATAAAAGGCAAAAGGTAAATGAATTACAGGTACTGTTGGAGGCAGAAGCCGGTTAGACTCCCTCTGTCTAGGTGGCTGATGTAGCAGAGGGAAGAACCATGGGGGGTGAGGCTAGGCCACATGGTCAAGATGGCGGCTGCCATAAAACATATTCCCAACAGCTGGCAGAAATCATAAAGCTTTGAGATATAATTTTGTTGGCTTTTTTTTTTTTTTCTTTCCACGAGTGAGGCAGAAGGATTTGTGAAACTAACAGGACACCGGAGTCCAAGGGGTACAACATCCAAAAAGACCACCGTAGGCCTGAGAAATGTATGTACCAATCTAAGGGCAGTGCTAGGATATAAAACCCGAGAGACCCCTCATGGATCTGAGAAATGAATGCACCAGTCAGCATGAGTGGTGCTAGGGCACAAAATCCGAAAACCTCATTCGTGGGGAAAAATGAAAAACTTGAGCAGATGCTGCCTCAGCCCAGCCCACTGCCCTGAGACAGGCTGCAACTGTGGCGGGCAGGAGAGTTTTAGCGTGGTGGGAAGAGAACAGAAACAAGTTTAAGGAAAGAGATTGTTTAACAGAGAGGCAGGAAAAACTCCTTCCATCTACCTGTTCGCTGGCAGTAATTTTGGCCAATTTGACTTATTTTGTAGGGGATATATAGGCTGGTTTATTTCCCATGGGTGAAGTAAAAACTGGCCAATTATTTTGGAACTCATCAGCCCAAGAATGTAGCCAAGGGCAAAGTGCCAGATAAGGACTCAGCAGTCCGAAGACAGGAAGGCTGCAAGCCGGAATCTTAACTCACCAGTGGGAAATGCACCAGACCTTAAGGAAAGGAGTAATAATGAAAAAGGGTACCTTACCGAATTGTAGCCGGTGTGGGATGGTATTTCCAGCGAACGGGTGGATGGAAGTGGATTGCTGGTTCGTAATCAGGGTCCCCAAATACCTCAGGCTGGCCATCCAACAGTAGATGGCCACTGAGTACTTGAGGAGGGCCTGATCCGAGTCACGGCACCAATGTTGTTCTTTTGCTATAATTATTAACTAAGAAACACAAACACAAGACTCAGAGACCACATGGAGTTTATTGAGAGAGGGGAGAAAAAGGGGGGGGGGGTTAGCTGGTGGCCAACCAAAAGCAGGAGAGAAGAGAAAGAGCAGAGAGAGGAGGCCAGAGAGAGAGGGCAAGAGAGGGGTGCGCGCTTGGCATGCTTGCTTTAAAAGGGGGGCTTGCGCATGTATAACTGAGTCCTCTGGCAGCCAGATAAAGCAAACAGATAAAGGGGACTGTTTGCTGGGGGCAGGTTGGCTAAGACAGGTTCCCTGAAGTGGGTCCTTGGGTTCCAAATACTAGTCTGAATTTTTTTATGTCTCAGTCTTGGAATTTCCTGCAGAGCCAGAAACTGTATCTCCCAAATCAGATACCACATTGGCCACAGAGATAGTTACTGTGCCAGGCTCCCGGCTGACTCCATCCCAACCAGCTTCTGCAGGAACCGCGGGGACAAGCAGTCATGAATCCTCCCGAGCCCCATCTCTTGCAGCAACAATGGCCTTGGAGCCTACAGCCTCCACTTCCCTCAGGACACCAGGTTAGCCCAAGCTCTGTACAAGGACAGGCCAGTTCCCCACGTACTGCTTCTGAGACCCGCCCGGATTGGGATCTTGCAGGAGGGTATCTGCACTAGCTTTGAAGCACTCGGGCTTAGAACTGACTGAGTGGCCCAGCCGCCTGCTGCCCACCATCATGCTTGAATGGTCTCTGCAATCCCCACTGGAAGGCTAGCTAGGAAAGAAATCCCATTTCTCAGATATGACATGGCTTACTGGTGTGCACGCCAGAGAACGGCAGGAGTTGACAGTGTGGAGCTGTGGTCTACAGGCAGAGACGCCACTGGCAATTGTTCCCCTCTAAGGCATGTCCACTGCTTAGGTGTGACCAAGCACCTCAGCATGTTATCCTGTTCGTTTTTGCTGAGACCAGTTTGATAACACCAGCTCCATCTCTCTTATGGTTCTAAGATAACACCAGCTCTAATCTCTCCAGTTTCATGAGAACCTGGGGCTTTCGGAACTCCAACCCTGACTCAGTTTTCCTCTCTCCTCTGCAGAGATTTCTCCAAACAGCTCCAAAATGACCAGAGGTGAGTGTTTACTTTTGTCAGATGTATTTATAACCAGGGACTGTAAAATGGACCCAGAATGCTCATCAGCCTCTTCCGGGCCACTCTAGCAAGGTCACCAGCAGTACACCTTTGCCTCTCTGATATGTCTCCACCAGAGAATACCTTGTATAATACCCTGTTGATGGAATTTGTCATTGGCCATGATTACTTATCTTAAGATCTGTAGCTTCCAACTGTCACACTACTGATGTACAAAGGTTCAGTTAGTCACAGGTAAGCCCCACCAGGCTCCACTCATATCCAGGGCATATCAGGAATCCACAGGAACCTGCTGCTGTCACTAGGGCAATGTCATTCTGCTAGAAACTGTCTAGAGCTCACAGCCTGGAGCATGATGACTGTTCTAAATGTTTCTGTTGATACAAGACATGGAGCATTACAGTTAGAAGAAAAAGAGACTGTACAATCAACACAGGAGGACATCAGAAAAGTGTTTGTGAAAGGGAGGACGAGAGATCTTGGAGAAGAAAGAGAAGAGCCGGAGAGGAGGGAGGGCAGGGAGGGGTGCAGCTCAGGGACTATGCTTGCTCGCTCATCAAGGCCAAGCTTCAGTGCCATAAAGAAGGGTGTGGGGTGCAGAGAGGAGGAATCTAACAGTGTATTCTGACAAACTTTAAAAGGAGCAAAAGGCACTAGAGAGATGGCTCAGGGGTAAAGGGTATTTACTGCTCTTGCAGAGGACCAGAGTTCAGTTCCCAGCACCCCAGACAGATAGCTCACAACCACTTGTAACCCCAGCTTCAGGGGACACAACAGCCTTTTCTGGCCTGTGGGCACCTGCATATTGCACGTGCGCGCGCGCACACACACTCGCGCACACGCGCGCACACACACACACACACACACACACACACACATTTTTAAGAGGATAAAATGTTCTATTTTCCTTCCTCCCCCTTCCTCCCTTTTGGAGACAGTATTTCTCTATGTAACAGCCCTGGTTATCCTGAAACTTGATCTGTAGATCAGGCTGTGATCGAACTCACAGACATCTGGCAGCCTCTGCCTCCCAAGTACTGGGGTGAAAGAGGTATGCCAACACTGTCTGGCTCTAGTTTCTATTCGTACATTTTCCAGCTGGAGATGGCTTACTGGCTTTTGGTCTTATTTTACCTGCACTAAGTAACATCTGGCAATCAGATGTAGCTTTAGATACATTAGCAGTATATTTGTTAGATATATTAGCAGTATGTTTGTTATGGTGTTTTTTCTTTTTTAAATGACCAAATGAAGACAGCCTTGGTGGTAAAGGTCTATATTCTCAGCTACTCAGGAGTCTGAAGTAGGAGAACTGCAAACTCAAGGCCAGCCTGGACAACTTAGTGAACCCCACATCAAAATTAAAACCATGAAGAGGACTGTGGATATAACAGTTCAGTAGTAGAGAGCACTTTCTCAGTCCTCAACACTGCAAAATGAAAAACATAGATAGAAAGACAGTAGATACATAGGCAGATGGATGTGTGTGTGTGTGTGTGTGTGTGTATACACATACCTACACACACACACACACACACACACACACATATATATATATATATATATAGAGAGAGAGAGAGAGAGAGAGATGATAGATGAAGGCAAGACATTTTAGAAAGACTCTTTGAAGAATACTTTATTGGAAAAACTCACTTAATAACAAGGACATAAACAAAAACATATTCATGATTTAAGAGAACAATGTATCAGAATTAGGCAGCTTATTTTTCTCTATGACACATAGCCCATTAATCTTTCCACATAGTTTTGAATATTTTATTTTTCAAATTCTTAATAATTTGCACATGGTCTGAAAATCAAAAATTAAATAGCACGGAGACATATGTCTGTAAACCCAGCACTCAGAAAGCTAAGGCAGGAGGATTGCTTTGAGTTTAGGTTCTGCCTGGGTTACATAGTGAGTCTCAAGACCATTGTGTCTACATAGTAACACCATACCTCAACACATTTAAAGCAAAAACAAAACAAAAAAATCAAAAGTCAGTGCATAATGAACAGAATGAAAACCCTGCCTCTGACTCAGAGCATCCCTGGAGACAGAGAGAAGGCTCCTTTGCCTCCTTCTGTTGGCTGTGCACAAATAAGCACATACAGAAGAAATCTAAGGGTAGATATTGCATGTCTATTTGCTTACTAGCTGTCCTCATTTGCTTTTTGTTGCTGTGATAAAGCACTCTTCCCAAAACGACTTGGGTAGGAAAGGGCTTATTCAGCTTATACTTCCAGGTCACAGTCCATCCCTGAGGGAGTCAGAGCCGAAACTCAAGCAGGAGCTTGAAGCAGAAGCCACAGAGGGATGCTGCATGCTCATTCACTCTCTGGTTCATGATGCACTAGCTTTCTTTAAAATTTTTAAAAATGTTTTTCTAAAAGATCACTTTCTATTATTTTAAATAATCTGTGTGTGTGCGTGCACATACACGTGAATGCAGGTGCTCTAGAACGCCAGGGGCATCAGAACCTCCTGGAACTAGAGTTGCAGGCAACTGTGAGCCACCCAATGTGAATAATGGGAACCAAACTCAGTCCACCACAAGAGCAGTAAGTGCTCTTAACTGCTGAACCATCTCCCCAGTCTTGTCAGCTAGCTTGCTTATACAGCCAGGACCACCTGGCCATGGAGGAAATGGTGCTTTACACAGTGGACTGAACTCCTACATGAGTTAACAGTCAAAGAAATCCCCCATAGAAAGGCCCACAGACCAACTTGATCTGGGGAATTTCTCAGTTGGGGCTTCTCCTCTCAGATGACACTGGGCTATATCAGGTTGACAATGAGTGTTTCCCAGGACACTGACATATCTTAGCAATCCTCCCTATCCACACATAAAAACCACCTTTCTCTCTTTAGTGGTTACAGAATAGTCTACTCCATATAGACCTGAGCACAATTTAGTTACTGTCTTGAGTTACATTACCAACAGTAACTAAATGGAAACTCGTGTGAAATTGTACTTAGTATATAATTATAATAGATATATTAGTGATCTAATACTTAATTTTCCAGTTCATGGTTTTCATGACAAAGATAATTAAGTGCAAGGGATTGTGGGAAATACAAAGGCCTTTATATTTTAAACAGTTCTTGATGAATAAATAAGGTGTTCTTCCTTAAAGGCAGACATGAGAATGCCTGATTATGAGAGGAGTCAAATTGTTAGCAAGGAAATGAAAATGGGATACTAAAGGTTTTATTGTCTGCTAATAAAGTATAAATTGAAATAACAACCAGTCGAGTTTTATAAAAGCATTTGTGACAATGTCTTCAAAGTTTGCCATTTACATTGACATCCATCCCTGCCACCCAAGATCTGCGAGTACCCCAGTTGCATACTGCAGATGCTTATTGGCTCCTTGGACACAGGGTGAGGTGCTTTTTCTTCATGAATAGGCAATCAACTGAGCACATCTCTGTAAGGCAATGTTAACAATGCTCAACCATAGTGATTGCTTAGTCAGTTAACTGATAATCAACCTACTGATATTTTGTTTTAATGGTTTTTTTAGTTTTATGATAAGAAGGGAACAAAGGACATGCTAGACAAGTGCTCTTCGCTGAGCTATATCCCCAGTCTATAATGTTTAAAGTAAGTTATACAAATGGTTCTCACTTTTATTTTCTTTTAAATTTTTTATGTCTATGTTATGCATATGTACCTGCCTGAATGTATGAAAGTGCAACTTGTGCATACAGGAACCTGCCAAGGTCAAAAAGGGGCATTAGACCCTCTCTGGAACTGATTTTTAAAAGATATTGGGGTTGGGAGATGACTCATTGGGTAAAGGCAACTGCTATGCTAGTGTGCGGCCCTGAACTGCTGTGTGGGTTCTATGAACCAGACCCGGATCCGTGGAGAGAGCAGTGTGTACTCTTACCCACTCAGCCACATCTCCAGCCCCAGTTATCACTACTTTTAAAAGTTGTTCTTGTTTATTTTTGAGACAGGGTTTCTCTGTCCAGTCCTGGCTGTTCTGGAGCTCGCTCTGTAAACCAGTATGGCCTGGAACTCACAGAGATCCACCTGCCTCCACCTCCCAAGTGCTGAGATCAAAGGTGTGCACCACCACCACTGGCTTAAAAGTTGTTTAATTCAACAGAAAACAGCCAATAGCTGATGCTCAATAGATACTTAATAAGTTAGTGTAAAAACTTTGACATTTTAATAAATAGTTTTAATAAATAGTGAAGAAACGTGGCTTCCATTTTTACTATCAGCAGGTTCCCTTGACAGCCTTTCCTGCCAAGAACTTAACCAGTTATCCCAATATCTTCTTTCTGATCCTCACCTCGGCTGTTATTGAAGACTTTTGATTTTATTTTAAAAAATCTTCCTTGGTGTGTGTGTGTGTGTGTGTGTGTGTGTGTGTGTGTGTGCCATTAGTGGGAGTGGGTTCTCTCCTTCCATCATGTAGTTCCCGGGGATTGAACTCAGGCTTTCAGGCTTGGCAGCAGGTGCCTTTATGCACTGAGCTGGTTTACCAGCCCAAAACTCCTGATTACAGAATTTAAGCCTAGGATGTCAACTGCACTAGCACTTACGCTGCTGTACCTAGTTCACTAGGAGTGAAAAGGTTATTGTCAAGAATGGTACTGTGCCTTGAGTCTTTTCCACATGTGATAGAAGTTTGTTGTCACTGATGTGTTCTGCATCTGATGGGAACTACACCTGTCATTCTGTCATTCATCTATTTCTCTAATGAAAATTCAAATCTTTACTAGTGATGGTCTTAAATTGCTATAAAGTACTTATTTCTGATTTTAAAAGATATTGGGTTGGGAAGATGTCTCAGTGGGTAAAAGGAGTTGCCAGGCAAGCATGAGGACCTGAGTTCAACTCTCAGAACCCATGCAAAGCTGGTCATGGCAGCTCATGTCTGTATGCCAGTGTTATGATAGGTTTTTCCTGCCGGTCTGGTCCCACCGCCATGCCAGCCCCAAATAACACACAGATACGCTGTATTAGATATAAAGCTGTTGATCTGTTACTAGCATTACTTATTGGCTAGTTCTGTCTTAAATATTAACCCATTTCTATTCATCTAAGTATTTCCATGTGGTCTTATCTTACCAGAGAGAGGCCCCGGCGTACTACCCTGTAGGTCCTCCATCTTGAATCTCCCTACTACTTCCTTTCTCCTCCTTGTCTCCTAGTCCTGCCTATGTTGCTTTCCTATTGGCCAACAGTGCTTTATTCATTAACCAATAAGAGAAACATATTTACAGAATGACATCTGCCATCATGTCAGTGCTCCTAAGGGGAGACAAGAGGCAGAGATTGGAGACCTCCTACAAGATCATGGGCCAGTCAGCCTGACTTTCCAGTAGAGAACAAGAAAGGGACCATCTCAAAAAATGGTGGACAGAGGACCTGAGGTCGTCCTCTGGCCTCCCACTGTGGTTCAAGCATACCCAGGTTCATACAAAAGAATACACAAACACACACAGAGAGAGAGAGAGAGAGAGAGAGAGAGAGAGAGAGAGAGAACCATAAATTTATTAAATTCTAAAAGCTGAGCTAAAGCAATCAATTTTTTTTTTTGAGTATCTGGTTTGAAGACAACATTTCTTTTATTTATTTACTTTTTAATCCTAAGGATAGAACCTATGGTCTTGCTGCATGGGTAGGTAAGTACTCTAAACTACACCCCCAAGTCCTGAGCTCATCCCTTCTCATGAACCCAGGACAGTAAGAGACAAAAAGAAACATCACCCCAGGAACAATGAGTAGATGCTCTTCCTTCAGCACCAATGCAGACTCACTGTAATATCTTCCTGCAGGACTGGCCTGGCTTGCCTGGGTCCTGCTAAAGAATCTGTTCCCTCTGTGTTCACACACACCAATTTCATCATCCTCCATGAATACTGGCCCTGACTGTCTCTGCTGCCTTCTCCATCTTAGTCCCAACCTACACCATGGGCCGAAGAGGAAGGGGGGCCAGTGTCCCTCATGGCCTCTTTACCATTATCCTTTGTTCTCCGTCATCTCCTTCCTCCCATCTTCTCCTGTCTCGTGTCAAATCTCTATTTCTTCCTTTTCCCTCCAGAAAGGGTGGAGAACTTGCCATATGATCTGTTAATTCCTTGTCTCTGGAAGTCTGGTTTCAGTTTCTCTCCCAACATTGCATGGATATAGTTGAAAAAGAAACTGGAGTTAAGTCACCAGTTTGGTGATATCTGTGGCCTGGGAGACTCCTTTCCTGATGATTCTGCAGTTGTTTATTTTCAGTCAAAAGGAAACAGGAAGAGCATTGTGAAAATAGAACTACTACTCACTACCATTAATTCCTCTTTTCCAGTAAGTCACTCCTTGGCAGTAAATGGGTGCTAAGTCTACTAGCCAGTGTGGAAACAGTTTACATGCAACACATCTAAAAAAAAAAAAAAAAATTCCAATCTGAGACTGAGACTTCAAGACATCTTTCATTGATTTATTGTGTTTCCTAATGTTTTTGTAACAACATTGGCATGCTGATTTTATTTACTGTCTGTAAAGATGTCTTCTTTCTGTGATTTTTACTGCTTCTTCTGACTACAGTGATGGGAGATGTGATTCTGTAAATATGTTTCTCATACCGGTTTAATGATTAAAGCACTGTTGGCCAATAGGAAAGCAAGATAGGCGGGACTAGGAGACAAGGAGGAAAGAGGAAGTAGTGAGAGGAGTCAAGATAGTCTGGAGAAAGCAGAACTGCCAGCCGCCTCTCCCTGGTGGCGCCCAACATGGGGCTCGAACCCACGACCCTGGGATTAAGAGTCCCATGCTCTACCGACTGAGGCAGTGGGGCAAGACCAGGCGGCAGGCAGAAAAACCGTACCCCTTACACTATAGTGTAATTTCAAAACTCCAAAGGCAAAAAGAGAGAGAGAGAGAGAAATAATTTTAGTGAAAGTAAAGATTGTCTACAGTCTCATTATAACTTAACACTTTGTACCCAACAACCATTAGACTCAAGAGTTTTCTGTGTATGTGGTTGTGACTTGTTGGAAATTACTTTGAGTGTTTTTTCGGCTAGCTTTTCCTTTTAGTTTATACTTTTTAGATTTATTTTTACTGTTTTTAATTATATGGAAGGAGTATGTGCATGTGAGTGCAGGTGCCCACAGAAGCCAGAAGAGGACATCGAATCCCCTAGAGCTTGGGCAGCTGTGAGCTTCCCTGTGTGTATGTTAGGAACCAAAATTCATTCATCTGTAAAACCAGTATGTGCCCTTGATTGCTGAGCTTTGCTCCAGCCCTGGAATACATTATTAATGGCAAGCTGGCTAGAAGGGCATCTGTTCTAGGCAAGAATGGAAATTACCAACAATTACCAATTCTTGGCAATGCATTCCTTCATGGGCTCTAGTTTAGTTCTGTCTTTTTCAGTGGCCATCTCCACATCGGTCCTGGCCCCCCTGATTGGTGTAGGAGCTGTGGTTTTCCTTGCCTGGTACATCAGATCAAGGTAAGTGGTACAAGAGAGCTGTAGAATCAAATTCTTCCTCTCCAGCAGAAAAGCTTGATCATAAAGATTCCAAGAGACCCTCTCAAGAGATGAGTTCCTGTCCTGACTAGAAATTCTCACACTCAGTTCTGTAGCAGCTAGCAGGAATTATGTAGGACTGGGCCAGTCCTGAAGAGAGCCCTTCACTTCTCACATAGTTCTCAGACCATGTGTTTAAAATGGGGTCAGCAGGAACTGAGCCTATGATGCAGGGTGCCATATCAATGGTAATTTGTGTCCACTTCTTTTGTGAATATACCAATAAATATATTCTGCATGCACTCATCTCACATGGCATACCTTCTTAGAAACATACTCATGCCAGCCTTAATTTGTATTTCTAAAAACAGAAATTCTACATTGCAGCATTTGTGCTGAGTTCCCTCTATTTCCTGGCATTTCAGTTTTATATTTTTCATCTTTCTCAAAGCATGTTTATCATTCTTTCTTAAATGGCATATTGGCTTTGACCTTGCACTTCTAACATTGAGTAACCAGCTGACATTGTTGTTAACGCCACACAGTATAGGTCTCTAGACCTTGCCTCTGCATTATTCCATGGGTGACTATCAGCATTCTTGAAACAGAGCATGAATTCACTAGAAATAAAATGCTAACTAGGATATCAATATAAAATTATATGACTATGGCTGGAGGGATAGCTCAGTCATTAAAGGCTAAGCCCCATAAAATTATATGACTGGGGCTAGAGATGTAGTCAGTTTGGTAAACATTTGCCTAGAATGTATGAAGCCCTGGGTTTGATCACCAGAAAAATACACACACACACACACACACACACACACATGTATGAGCGTGGTTTTGTTAAAAGGAACATTCTATGAAACACTGTGATAAATCCTAAAAGAAATATAGTACTCAAAACTTCACGTAAGACTTGACAACTATCAACTGATACAGATGCCATAAGCTCCAGAAGTAATTCATAAATAACTAAACTAAGGTTAGCATGTGTTCAATATTTTTTTTACAAAAATCACAAAATGCTACATGCTGACAAAAATAAAAAATGATTTTAAAGGATTTTCAAAACTAAATATACTTTTGGTTCTTTGAGACAGGATTTCTCTGTGTAACAGCCCTAGCTGTCCTGAAACTAGCTCTATAGACTAGGCTGGCCTTGAAAGCAGAGAGATCCTCCTGCCTCTGCCTCCAAGTGCTAGGATTAAAGACATGGGCCACCACCACCTGGCAGACTTTATCTTCGTAATGTGAGAAAGGCCTATAGTGTTGGTTGCTCATTTAGACTTACCTTGACAGTGATAAAATATGCATCATTAAGAATGGGCCAGGATTTGTTCCAACAACACTGGTAAACCTCTGATGTATGGATGGTGAGGCTGAAAATGCCCAAGTAGGATTAAAGTTCTTGCTATCTGCACATCTGAACATTCTAGGTTGTCCTAGTCTCTGAGATCTCCGAGAGCTGGGCTGGTGTCTGCTACTGTAACCCACTCGGTATTGGGCATGCATTTCAATAAGAAATATGATGACCCAAGAGTGGCCCTGACCTCTTTTTCAAAACCTGTGAATAAACTGTCTTACAGGCAGACTTCTCAGCCACGTGGTGTTGAGATGGAAACCATGGAAGCAGTGCCAATGACCATGAAGACCAGTAGCAATGAGGGCGACACAGGAACCTAACCACACAACCTCAAAACCTCAGGCAAACCTGCCCAGCTGAGTCTAAGAAGAAGATGTGAAGGCAGCTATGTTAGCTAAGGAGCACCAGGACACCAGGAGTTGGGCACCGGGAGAAAGCGCACCGTGATGATGTAAGGTCTCCAGAATGATCTGTTGCACTGCGTCTGGGTGCCTCCTACATGAACACCTGTGCTCTCTGGCATCTGGAAGTATGATACCACCCTTCTACCTGCTCAGTGCAGAGGCCAATTTCCCAAAGTGCAAGCAGCTTTAGGTCTCCTGGCAGACTCTCGTGATTCCCCAAATAAGCCTCTAACTTCACTCCAACATCCACTCAAAATAGCTTAGCAGTTAGGCCAGTGATTCTCAATCTGTGACTCATAACCCCTTTGGGGGATGTCAAACAACCCTTTCACAGGGGTCAAATATCACACATCCTACATATCAGATTTTTGCATTATGATTCATAATTACAGTAGCAAAATTACAATTATAAAGTAGTAACAAAAATAATTTTGTGCTTGTGGGTCACCACAGCATGAGGAATTACATTAAAGGGACACAGCATTCAGAAGCCTAAGAACCACTGTGCTAGACTCTCCTTTGTCCCCTACCCTGATTTACAGTTTACAGAGCTTAGCAATACACCAGAGGCTCCCATTTCACATCAAGGCTCCTCTGGCTCAGGAGACATCTACGAAGAAGATAGCAGCACTTGAGCTCCTGAAGACTTGGCTGTCACTATTTTGCACCTATTGCAAAATAGCAGAGGAAGGCAGAAGAGATATTGAGCCAATGAATCCTTTTTTTTAGGATTTATGACAAAAACTGAAGTCAGTGATCTTTTACATATCTACACATTTATATTTATACTTTCTTTTGTAGTATATCTACATACAGATATATGACTGATATTTGAAAGTGCTTGTATATACAAAATAAAATATTTATTTTCATTACAAAATCACATTAAAATTATCAATGAAGAGGAATGTTCCACAAAGAAAAAAATGAGAAAAGAGGAGTGATAAGATATCTAAAGTGACTAAACTCAGGTTTTCTTTGAAAAAAAAAATAGGAGTTGGAAAAGCTCTTGCTTAGAGTTGGCACAGATCATAGCTTTGGTGGGATATATACCCAAATTTCTTGGTGAGTAGAAGAAATGTAATCTAAATAGTGGCAAGTCTGAGCTCAACTAGCATAGGATGCATGCATATCCCTGCTCTCTCTGTCTCTTTCCTGTTTATGACAACTGTTTCTAAAATCATAGGACAAATTCCACCTTTTCATTCCATTTATTAATTTATTATTATTATTATTATTAATCTATTGCAATAGATAAAAGAGGATGTCACCCATGTTGGGCAGGTACTCTACCACTGAGTCATATCCCCAATATTCTACCTCCTAAATTTACTGATAAAAAAAAAAAAAAAACATTGAGCGGTCATCTGGTCCTCCTACATTCCCAGTTAAGGGGAACCACGATAAGGATTCAGGAGATGGGTTAAACCCCTGGTTCACAAGCTACCATTCCCCACTGACTTCTACCAGTCATCAATCTCTGTGGTTTCTTTCATCAAAACTCAGGGAAGCCTTTCCATATAGCTCAATTGGGCTTCCTCACAGCATGGTGGTTTCTGTCTCTGTCATGCTGTTTACATGGTGACCAAAACAAAGCAGAAAATGTCAGTTCCCTTCAAGTAGGTAGCCCAGAAACAGACCTGTATAATTTTTGCTATCTATCTATAACCTTTGCTATGTGTTGATCAAAACAAGTCACAAACCAGCCCAGAGTCAAGGGCAACAAAATGCCAAAAGCCAAAGAAGGCATCTACAGAATCTGTCTTTGGTTAAGAAGCTGCCATACTTTTGAAGATAGCCAGGAAATATGACTTCCCTTTAGTTCTCAGCTCTTAATCAATGCCAATAAACATGAGTTGAATAGGTGAGAACCTAATGATCTGGTATTGAGCTAGGTATTGAGATGTCCATTTTTTTTTTGTTTGTTTTGTTTTCAAGATAGGGTGTCTCTGTGTAGCCTTGGCTCTCTTGGCACTCCCTCTGTAGACCAGATGGCCTTGAACTATCAAAGATCTACCTGCCTCTGCCTCATGAGTGCTGGGGTTAAAGGCATATACCCCCACTGCCCAACTGAGATGTCTGTTTTTAATATTTAGTTTGGAATAGAGAGATGCACAGAACCTGAACAACTTGAAAATGGTATAGTTATTAAACCTTCACCCTGGATAACTTTCACTGACTACAAATCTACTGTTCAATTCCTTCTTCCCCATTACTTGCTCTCTACTGTACTAGCCATGAAAAAAACATACACATTGCTAGCTCATCATCATTTCTTTTTTGCCTTGATGTAGGACTTAAACTCTTTTGCATCTTTTCTAGTTTCCTTTTAGATGCTAGAGTAGTGAGAACAGGAAACAAAAGACACACTCTTTTAGATTTATTTTATATGAGTGACTATTTTGTCTATGTTTATATCTGTGCACCACATGTGCACCTGGTGACAGAGGTCAGAAGAGGGCATCAGATTCCTGAACTGGAATTACTGACAGTTGTGAGCTGCCCTGTGTGTGCTGGGATTGGACTTACATCCTCTGAAGAGAAGCCAGTACTTTTATTGCTGAGGCACCTCATCAGCTCCACAGAAAACACATATAAGCATAAAGGGTTGTGTTCCTTTAAGGCAGGAAAGGCTCAGTCCAAACCAACCTCTCACACTCCTGACCTGTATTACAATTCAATGTGACAATACTGCTTTAAGTATTAACTCATACAGTGCTGTATTAAGGAAGAAACTGTTATGGTTCTGGAGTCATCCAGAGATTTACCAGTCTGACTGTGGGTATTTTAATAAAGAAGAGGCTTATATTCAGATATGGGTACCAGGGCTATACCCGGGACTTGGGATTCCCAAATGTAGCACAGAGCCCTATTGAGTCAGGGATTTAAAAAGGAAAAACACAGCCAGGAGCTGCAGGATTTAGTTTTTCCTGACAGGATTTGGTCTTACTTTTGTGCATTATTTCCTCACTGTGTCTCCATTCCTTCCCTTTGGAATGGTAATATATATTCTGTGCCATTGCATGTTGGAAGTAAGTAATGTGCTTTTTGAATTTACAAGGGGTTACAATTAAGAAATTACCTCAAGTCTCAGAAGGGACTTTGGACTTTGAAACTGTGTTAAGAATGTAAAAGGCTAAGGGAACTTTTAAAATTGGACTCAATGCATTTTGCATTGGGACCTGGCTATAAGCCTGTGGAGATAGTGAAGTAGAATAGGGTGGCTTGAATGAGAATGATCCCATAGGCTCATGTATTTGAATACTTGGTCCCTTGATGGTGGAAATGTTTGGGAAGGATTAGGAAGCATGGCCTTGTTGGAGGAGGTGTGTTAGTGGGGGTGGGTTTTGAGGTTTCAAATGTTCAACCCAGGCCCAGTGTACCTCTTTCTTCCTGCTGCCTGTTGATCTGTATGTAGAACTTTAACTACCTCTCCGGCACCATGTCTGCCTGTGTGGCTACCATGCTTCCCACCATGATGACAATGAACTAAGTCAGGTCCAATTAAATGTTTTTCTTTTATAAGAATCTCCATGGTCACGGTGTCTCTTCACAGCAACAGAACATTGACTAAGACACCGCCCCATTCCCAGTTAGTTCTCTTTCTGCCTCGTGTTTATGGATCAGATGTGAGCTCTCAGATACTGCTCCAACCATGCCCATCTGCCTGCCACCATATTCCCCACCATTGTGGTCATGGACTCATTCTCTGAAACTGTAATCCCCAACAAACACTTTCTTTTAGAAGTTGCCTCAGTCATGGTCTATTGCTTCACAGCAATAGAAAAGTAAATAAGACAAGCGAGAGATCATGGGTAGATGAAGGGAAACTTTTCCAGCATCGGGAATCCTGGGCTCTTGAGTTTCTAAAGCTTTGGAAATGGCCCATGCATACAAGCTCACAGCTTAGAGCTCCAGAAGTTAGAAGCCAGAGTCTCATGATTTTAGTACTCAAAGTGGAAGCTTATTGTCCTGGTCATTAACTACCAGTAGCCCCTGCACATGACAGCTATTTAATATTTGTCTTTCAGCAGCAGTGGGTGGTGGCAGCAGACATCGGCAAGCAACAGCAGGTGGCATTTTCAACCTGTGGGTCACAACCATCCCTTTGGGGGCACATATCAGACATCTGCATATAAGATATTGATACTATGATTTATAACTGTAGCAAAATTACAGTTATGAAGTAGCAACTTCATTATTTTATGCTTGGGAGTCACCTCAACATGAGGGCCCCAGCATTAGGAGGTTGAGGACTACTGGTCTGGAGTTAAAGGCCCTGGGTTCTGTGACCTTCAGCCCTTCAACAAGTGTTAGAATTTTCAGGCCTACAATGCCAAGATTCCCAACCTTTAACAGCATCTAGTATTACAGCTCTCAGGATCAAAGTGTCAGAGTCCCTTGTCCCTTAAGGTCCCTAGAACTCTTTCAGTGATCAGGATACACAGCCTGTCGACAGAGACTAGTCTAGAAAGAGTAGTAGTGGTAGAAGTAATGACAAACAAGAAATCAATCATCACATTCAAGAAAAAGAAGGCAAAGCACCTGGGATGTGGGCTGCTAAGCATGGATGCAGTTAACTAGGGCCTGACCACCAGGTTGAATCTTGAACTTCAGGCACATGCAAGTGAATTATCCACTAGTTAGTGCAAATTCCATCTGGATTCTTGACTATATTTGAATACTTGTCTTTAACATAGCATATATTTAAACCTAGCATATATTTCCTTCCACAAAAGTACATTCTGGTAGTTAAGGACCGTGTCCATTTCTGTGGCATATTAGCTCAGACATCATTTCATCATTTGCATCTTATCCCTTATATCATCCATTTCATGGTTTATAAAACTAAACTAAATGCATGGGAGAAAAATTTACATTGAAATGATGTAAACATTTGGTAAATTCAAACCTTGGCAAGAATCTTGAGTGTGGAGCACATACACCATCACATATACCTGGAATAGTAATGAGGGAATGTATTGTGTCGCACCAAAGACAAGACATTTGAAAATTCATGTCACTCACATGTCATAGGATTCAGGGTCTCTGTTGTGTGGCCAGCACAGCTGTCACTGAGATTTCCCAGGAGATCATAACATTCCGTGTCAGAGTGGCAAGATTTTGCCTGGCTCTTGTTATTATTTTAAAGGGGAAACTGCTAGGGCTTCTCAACACTGAGGCAAGGGCGTGGGCTTCAACTACTACTCACTCAGTCTGGTGCCAAACAAGTAAAATTAAAATTCACACAATCTGGCTTTTTTTTTCCCATGGGGGTTACCTGATAAAAGCAGTCCTCCACTTCACTACTGAGCTGTATTTAAAATTTTCCCACTTTAAACAGCTGCATTACTTGATTAAAACAATGTTAAATAAAATTACCAACAACAAAAAAAAAGTGACAGGAGTGGTACACACCTGTATTTCCAACTCAGGGCCACTGAGGAAGGAGAATCAAGAGTTAAGGCCACTCTCAGCTACAAAAGAAGGCCTGTGTCACACACACACAATCAGGAAATGATAAAGCAGAAGTAGTCTGTATGGCTTAAACTTCTTTTAGGAGGTTATAAGGATTGTTCAATAATTGCTAAACAAAACTGAAACAAAAGTCTTAAAGGGCAAAGGTTTTGCAAGAACTGTACACAATCAGTGTACAGCCCCAAGTCTCTGGCTCCATAAGTCCACCTGCCCCCTCTGGTATTAGGTCTTACAACAAAGCTTGGTGCTTCTGGGTAATTTATCCATGTCTCTGGGCAAAGAGGTGAAGGCACTAATTACAAAACAAGTATGCAGTCTTTCAAATCCCCTTTAAAGTAACCGCCATAGATACTCAACTGCTCTAAGACAAAGTGGCTCCTGCATATGGCTGCTGGTGTTTTCCCTGTTCTAAGAAATCTCGAAGATTATACAA